TTTTGGGCAAAGATGAGCTGGTTTTTGCACCATGATGGTTTTCCACCGCCCTGTGTCTGCGGAGCTGCACGATGGTGGCTGCTGCCTCCCAAGACATCAGCTGCCAGGTGGAAGCGAGGCGCTGGACGGCGTTTGCCCAAGGGGACCAGGTGGGTTTGTTTTTCTGGAACTCTTCAGCAGCGTTTACCAAGTCCTGCTCTCACACGCAGCCCTGCCTGCTGCAGCCATGAGGCCATCAGCGGAAATCAAAGGGAAAGCCCCTTTTCCGGAGGTCAGACCCCCACATCCCCAGGGGACAGTTTATTAGGGCCAGAAGATTGTGCTGAAGTGTTTAATAGGGCTGAAACCAGCCCAAATCGCCACCAGTGCAATAACGGGAGCCTGAGGTGATGACGTGTGGGAGTGGGACCCTCCATCCCATGCCTGGGGTGGGGGATCGGCTCCGGAGCTGGGACCCCCCAGGTGGACCCCACAGCACCCCCCCGGTGAGGGGCCTTCCACCCTGTAAAACAAGTAATAGGGAAAAAAAATAAAAAAGGACTTACACTGTATAGGGAAGACTCCAATCTAGTATTTTCCCCAGGGAGCAGGGCCTCGTGTCAGGATGCGGCTGCCCTCACGCTCCTTTCAGTCAGCGTATCCTCATGAAATCCCGCTGGAGGGTTCTGGGGTGACCAGGGACCCCATTGTTTTTGGGGACCAGTTCTTCTCACCTAATCCTCCAAAAAGGTCAGTGCTTTTGAATCTTTTTGTGAAGGAATATGGAGAGGGAAGGGTCAAACACCCAGGTGAGTCAGCAGCTCCTGCTGGCACGTGGGGTGCTGAGCTCCTGCGGCTTCCTGCGAAGCACGTGGGTAAGAGGTGGTGGATGGGGCAGAGCCCGGGTGGGGTCTGAGCTCCCCTCTCAGCCATCCCAGCAGGTCCCTGAGCACACAGCGGCCACTTCCCAGTGTCCGTGTGTCACCCTGCATCCCTCCAAACCTCCATCACCCTGATCTGAACCCCCAAGTGTGCGCAGGGTGGAGGAGGACACACCTGGTTCACGGGCTGCCACGTGGCCCAGTAGCAGAGGATCACGAGGCTTTCCTAAGGATTTTCTGTGTTTATTTTTTTGTTTTGTTTTTTTTTTTTAAATCTTGGTGTCACTCATTCTGTTAGGTGTCCCTGACAGAGAGCAGCCACCTGCCCTGGCAGAGCAGCAGCTTTCTCCTGCCCATGGTGACACTGAGGCCAGGGCCACGGTGCCCATTCAGCCACCAACGCCCGATGGTGCCGCCCATCCCAGCGC